AGCTTTCCGTAGCGGGAACGCTATTTTCAGAGGAATTATTGCAACGGAGAGATGTTGTCTCGCTTCGCTTCTGAAAGTTGTACATTCCCTATTGGATATAGGTAGATTTTCGCGTCGCTACGGAAAACTATCCGCGCGGTATATATAGTGTAAATGTAGCAATAAGTAACGTATATAACATAGATAATTTTCGGCTGTACTTCTTAGCTAGATATAAAGTAATTATATGTATTCTTCATTGTTTACAATTATCCGTTACTTAAAATAAACGAGTTTCGGCTTGACAAAGCAATAACAGCAGGTTCCTTTGTAACCCATTAATAAATTATTGCATCTTAAGAGCGCTTTTAAACCACAATACATAAACAATATTTTTTGTGTTTTGTCAAGGAAAATAACCTTATTTTTTAGCACGAGTTTTAAGCTTGACCCTTTAACTAGGACAGATATGTTTGAATATTTTTTCTGAGCGGAATTTTATTCAAATTGTTGAAAAATTGAAACTTTTGAACATTTGCAAGTTATGATAATTGTCTAAAGTTGGAGGCATAATTAAACTTTATAGAAAATAACTTTCAAACATGTTCATAGTTCCATTGTATGCAATATCAACTATATGTGATCCATTTAGTTCTTTTAATGATTATATAGTTAGATAAAGAAAGTTAAAAAATACTTTTAAAAAATATTAGTCTCATCTTGAGATATCATATTCATTTATGAATATGTTATTGAAAAAAATATTTTCCTTGATAACTTCATTTCCAAATCGTTTATCTTTTACACTAAAAAGTAAAGACTACAGAAAGTATAATAATTTATTGGAATAATACGAAAACAGTATATGTAGAGCCCCCCTGTTAATCAAGTATATATTATAGACATTGAACAAGCTAATTGCATGGGCTAGATAGATCGCATGTATGGAATTAAGTGCAGAACAAGAAAATTAATACAATAATAATAATAATTAAAACAATAATACGCAATGAGGTATATTTATATATATCCTCATGCACTATAGTAAATAATATATATCACGTGACTATAAATTTCATGTAGGTTTTATATCGTGCTGTTTCATTATAATAAATGGAGTAATAAACTATATCATTATAGATAAAATGGAGTACTAATAAACTCAACCATTATATATAGATAACCTATGCCATGTATTGCAAACCGCAGTATGGTCCATACATGGAAGTCTATAGTGCACAGTAATGCTAAGCTCCAAAGACAAAAACACTGCTCATTAGAGAATGTTAAAAAGCCTTAACATTATCCAAAATTATATGATTTTGCCCACAATATAAGACCTATGTGGAAATCAGTTTCCTCAGTAGGGAACATCTACGAGAAATAACCTGTATCTTATGGCGCCTGTGCATGGTGTTATAGAATATATCTAAAACTCTGAAGCTTTTTCAAACCCTTTACCCAATAAAGTTTTCCATTAAAGTTTGAATCGGTGAAATTTCGTCAATTTTATCAAAGAAATTTTGATACTATAAACTATCCTAAGAACTACACAAAATGTTCTTCGTCTCTATAAAGTGTTACAATAGCATAACACTATAGAACAAATATTGCACATATATTTCGTGACGAATTAATTACTTATCAATATAGTAACTATATTGGCCCTTTCCCTAAACCACAAAATAAATTCCTTTAAGCTATAAAAACCACAGTCGGTTATCTGGCTATGCGCTTGCCTTTTTTGTGGTTTACTAAATACATTTAACAATTTCTAAACAAAACGAAGTCCTATGGCAGCTGTCGACTGCTGGAATCTCGTGTGATGTTATAGCATTGAGAGCCTCGTGGCCCAAGCACGCGCTTTTGTCTTGCCTATTGTCCTCGTGTAATTGAGAACTCTTAATTCATTAAACAATCCGATAATTTGTAAATTGCCCTTCTGTCAAGCGAAAATCACAGCTGTTGCATAAAAATCCTTCGAACTTCTAGTATTCTAACTGTGACAAAATCCGTTCGATCGAACGATTTCATAAGTTCGATCGAATGTTTAACTAAAGTTCCATGAACTCGTGCTGCTATTAAAACATATGAAACGAGGCTCTTTTACAGTCACTTTAGTGCCTGCTGTTTTGAAACAATCGGACAGTTCATAAAAATGTTAATTTCATGTGTATCTCTGCGTGTAGCGCGGCCTGGATTAAATCCCCTTCAAAACAAAGACTCGCATGCCAGCGTAGTAAATTAGCAATTCGTGTTCTAAATGGTGTTCTGATTATATTTAGAACATTTCATACTTTACTATACACTAGAACATATAGCAGATTTAGGGGACTATTTATCCTTAGTACACTATATTTATTATTATCAGTGTGTGCATGTGTTATAAATAAGAAATGACCTGAGCTCAAATCCGACGCATGCGATTCGTTCATAAATAAGAACAAAGCCCATACGTTCTTTCGAATGCACCACGTGCGTGCTCGCGACTGCGAATACTTGATTGTGATTGGTCAAATCCAAATGCCTGTACGTCTCATTAAGTTCATTCAATCCACCTGTTATCTCATTCTTTGCAGGTGAGCGAGGCTATCGTTGTTTCCAGTGTTCACAACTGTTTCACTATAGCTATTCTTTCCGAGTGCACATCGCATTGACATGCGGGAACTATAAACTCGCATGTGATACCCGTATAAAAGCTATTCTTCCTCGTACTCGTTCCAAAGAGACCAAGACTAGTCTACAGGCAGCAACAAGTATCACCAGTATACAACCAGAACGACACCGGAATAAAATGACGATGTATTTAACGCCTGGACTAGACAATCCTAATCCCAGCAAGAATGAGGATACTCTTCCAGAACTACGAGATCCACATATTGCACGACATGTCGAACATACTGATGTCTTTAGCGAAGTCGATGGTCCTAATTCCTCCACATCGCTAACGAACTTAGACAGAATCAACTCGAACGGTTCAAGCTTCAACGGTTTCGCTAACGGTCTGAATTCGTTAAGTCCTATGAACGGAATGATGAACGGTTTCGGAAACGCAATGAGCCACTTTCCATTTCTACCTAACCTGGCCAACGATCCTTTCGCAAAATTTAACCTGGGTTCCACGTTGAGTAACGATACACTCAGCCCGCAGAAGTCTTCGCCACAACAACAGTTTCTATCCAACCATGTCGAGGCGAATCATCCAAGCTTGCAACCGCCCGATCTTCAGAAATGTGATGAGAACGACAGCGAGATACCGTCGGAACCTCCAAGCCTTACACCGCTAGTTCCCTCGAGTTTTGGCTCGTTTTCAAGCGAAAGTTTCAGCATGAACAAAGAGCTTCATCGAACGGGAAATTTACATTCACCGGGGTTTCAAAATCAATTCAGTAGCAATCTAAATGGATTAAAACCTTTAGACGCTCTAGCAACGCCAACTTCATCGACAGATCGACTCAACCTTTCTGATTTTAATAACCTAAACTACAAACTTTCTCCCGATGCTAACTTCCCTCCACACCAAATGGACATGTTTAACTCGTCTGTCTTTCTTCCTCCCCGAACTCAAGTACAAAACACCGCACCAATGCCACCTTTCTATAAACCACCTTACCAAGGCTTTCAGGGCATGTCTCCGTACAACAATCAACCTTCGGTTAATCCCATGCTATTTAATGAACAAAATATGAACATAGGGAATCGTTTTGGAGCGCCTAGCTCGCAGGTTCCTCCCGAATTGACGAACATGGGACCAAGCAGTTCTATGAGCCATGACCAGTTTGGTGTCATGAAGCAATCATCCAAACACGGGCAAAATGAAGATGTTTTAAATGAACTAAACTCGAAAAAAGTGAACAATAAAGGCTATCTTTGCGAACTTTGCGGGAAAATCTACACTCGAAAATACGGCTTGAAGATACACATGAGAATTCACACGGGTTATAAACCACTCAAATGCAAGTATTGTCAAAAAAGGTTCGGAGATCCAAGCAACATGGCGAAACACATTCGCCTACACGCTGTTGGAGATACTCCGTATAAATGTCAGTATTGTGGGAAGGTGCTTGTAAGAAGACGAGATTTAGATCGACATATTAAATCGAGGCATCCCAACGGACGATGATTTCAGGGAATACACCTGTGCACTGCATTTAAAGACATCGTCTACAAGACAAACTCTATGAAATAGAGAACTATTTAAAAATTTTAGAGTATATATGTACATTTATATATAAAATTAAAAGTATTATATAGAGCACAACAGATTTGTTAAAAATTATATATTGAAGAAAAACTTGAAACGTTGTTGTCTTTGATGGAATTTAGTTGCAGTCATTTTAAATGGGGGTGTGTAACTCACACTATATAGTCTAACTATATAATTTGGAGTTTTGCATATATGGCTATGATAACTTTAGTATTTCGTGGCCCGAGGGAAGGCATGCAGCTTGGCTGTTGAAACTAGTGGTTTTTATTTAATTTTTTTGTCTCGGCCGCCTCGTAGACAAAGCTAATTAGTATCAAAGCAGGTTTGTATTCGACACAGTATTTGCCTATTCAATATATAAATATCACTTATTAATAACTATAGGTTTAAGCTTCTCGATAATGGTATCGATGTTTTCTATCATATATGGAAGTTTATAGAATATAGTTGAAATTTTGAAAGCGTAACCCTTTTATGACATGACTTAGTTTGGTGTGATGCATGTATATCTTAGCTATGTTTTTTATTGAAAAACTTAAGGTAATTTATAGTTTTCATTTTTTTATATAAGCATGTACTGTAAGCTTAGAATAGCGAGGAAATTAATGTGACTTAAAAATTATTCAATAGTTTTAAAAGACACAGTTACTGTGTAACAGTTTCTTTGTTTTTCATTTCTTTGTTCCGTGACGAGTATCATTATTTATTAATGACAGTTAAAAACATCGTCATAGCCTTCACTTTGCATTAAAAATATATTTAACTACTATAATATATTGATACTCTAAGACTATATATATATATATATATATATATATATATATATATATATATATATATATATATATATATATATATATATATATATATATATATATATATAAGCATGCAAAATTTTAATTCCAGAGATATGGGTGTTTGTGTATTGAACTATATATGTTCATAGACATAGTTAACCAACCGATCTAAGATACAAATGTGTAAATGTTCGTATACGCTGCGATTTGCCGTGTCCGATTCGAATTCTGGCGTATTATATATAATGGCACTACAATTCCTCTTCAGTGACATTGAGTTCACTTGGCGAAATTGCAATTTACATACGCTGGAATACGAATCGTATACACGACAAATCACAGCGTGTAAATGACCTTAACGAGTGTGCAAAGACCGTGCAGTCATATATTATATAACAAAAATATATAGTAATGTATATTGAAACGCTTTATCTTTGTTGATCGTGTCATTTGCAAGCGTGGCCTCTGCATATCAAGTGGCCTCATTAGCAGAAGAGCAATTGTTTAAGTCCTTATTAAACTGTTAAACAAAGGTGGATAATAAGCTGAGATTTCAAACCACTTTGCTTCAAATCAATGTAGTATTAGGGTTTTCAGATTTAAACTTATAAATCTTTTTTTCTCTATGAAATCAGAGAATGTAACTTGTACGACATCTAGCCTCCTCCGCAGGCCTCTCTATGGGTTTTAGCCTGCGAATGGGTTTTGAAAAAAAAAATTTTCCCAGGAGGCTATACGATATTCATTTCGTCAAACGAGTTTTGCGGGTATTTGAAGCGCAACATGTATGTCTGCATGGTTGCCGCGAACTCAGAAACTATAAAGACCCATTTACACTTGCAATTTCTGCTGCGATTTTCTTCGTCTGGTCACAGAATAAAGACATACAGAAGTGTAACTTCCATTACAAAACCGTAAGGCGCTTTTTTACCGAAATAGCTGGCGGCCATGTTCTTAGCGAGTGCCCTAAAGAGAGGCATTCACCCCCCTGGAATATTAAATTTTCAATATGTTTTCAGGGGGGTGACCGCCTCTCTTTAGGGCACTTGCTAAGAACATAGCGGACTGAAAAAATCCCTTATGCGAAATTAACCTGAAGTGAGATCTCTGTATGTACTTACTTCCTCTGTGGTCTGGTGGATGTGAACGAGAGGATGAGTTACGAATGTTCAGATGAGGGTACATCAGTGAGACATATACTCAGAACATTCATAACTTATTCACTCGTTCACATGCATCAGAAGACGAAAGTCGCACTAGAAATCGCAGGAGAAATTGCAAGTGTAAACGGGCCTTACTATGAATGGAACTATATAACAATCTACATCTAAGGATGCTGTGCTGAGTGGTTATATTACTACCTTAAAAAATAACCAGAAACTCGACGTTTCGAGCGAAGGCCCTTCGTCAAGAGTTAAGTCGTCGTCAAGTCTTGACGAAGGGCCTTCGCTCGAAACGTCGAGTTTCTCCTTATTTTTTAAGGTAGTAATATAACCACTCAGCACAGCATTTTTACATTGGTACTACCTACACTGGTACAGACTAACAGACAGTTTTAGTATCTACATCTAAGGCCCCACTATACACCAGATAGCTTTCCGTAGCGACATGAAAAAAATACCTGGTCCTATCCATACCTTTTAAACGCTATTTTCAGAGGAATTATTGTAACGGAGAGATGCTGTTTCGCCCAGCTTCTGAAAATTGTACATTCCGTATCGGATAGATGCTTTTTCACGGCCGCTACGGAAAGCTATCCAGTATAGTGTATGCGTACCACTACCCTGTGCTCGCGCAAAATATACACAATTATTGAAATCCAAAATTTCCGCAAAAACGCCCAAAATAACTCAAAGGTCCATGATTAAAGTTCGTGATTACTGGCAATAGCCAAAGATTTGCGGTTATATTCCTCCGATGCCAATGCTTTCAACATAAAATGAGCGACATCAGCTCGAGGTATACGCATTAGAGTACCCACATTGCACTGACCTTCCTCCACGTTATAGTTCCCGTTACTTTCAGCTGAAAAAAACAAACAGAAATGATATTTTATAATGCATTATGAAGGTAAACTAAGTTATTTATCAATTAACTTCATGAAGCCGTTCATTTCATGCTGATACACTAAAGCCCGGAAAAAGTTATTTCGTTGACCTCACAATGACATTTCGTCAAAAATTTTTTCTTCAAGACTGGTTTAGAAACAAACTTAGAGTAGGGCGTAAAAAAAATACCTGTGGTTCAGGTTTCATATCGTGAAAAAATTAGGGTCGGTAGGTCGGAAATAAATTTTCATGGTTTTGGCGGTTTTTTGCTGGGCGATTTGCAGTAGAGTCCCCCCCCCCCTCCAGTAGAGTCCCGACATCAATATTAACTAGAGATGCGTATTTCCTATGGACGAATTTAGGCAATTTGGTTCAATAATTAGTGTGACAACAGACGCCATTTTGGCACGCTGTATGAGCAGCCCGCAACCACCTGGAGAAAATAGGGTCGCACGGTCAATCACGTTGAAAAAATAATAGGGTCGGCAGAAAAAAATAGGGTCGGTCGGGAACCAGAACCACAGGTATTTTTTACGCCTAGGATTAGGTTAGGGCTAGGATTACGGTTAGAGTTTGGAATAGGGTTAGTGTCAGAAAAACCGTTGCTTTGTTACGTTTTGTCACTCTGAGGCCAGCAAAATAACCTCTTCCTTAAAGCCCATCTCTCAATTAGCCGTTCTGAAGTTGATGAGTGGACTGGGGACGAGTGTTAGAAAGTGCCCAAATTAAGAAATGAAAACCCGAATCTCAATTTAAACCTGAATTTAAAACGTGAATTTAAAGCTTGAATATAAAGTCAGAGTTTAAAGCCTGAATTAGTTTGAATTTAAACGGGTCAAAATGATCGGAGACCTATCTCCCGTTATTTTGAGCCCTGGAGTTGAGAGTCGCATTCTAGCAACTATACTTACCCAGTGACAATCCAGGAGGTTTCACAATAGTATAGTTGATTTCATCAGGGTTTGTATTTTGTAACAACTCTTCCATAATAGCCATATCTCGTAAGTTGGCTCCGATGATAAATGGTTTCAAGAACCACTCAATAAACCAAGGGTTGTTAGGGCCTGGTTGAGTACACCATGAGGTTATCGCTATGATACGACCAACTTTATTCCTATAGAAGTAGAAGAAATTAAAGGCACAGTTCAGACTTTTGAGTGATGGTTTTTAAGGTGCATTAATGCCCTTTTAATTGAAAAAACTAACTAGGAAAATCAATTAAGCATTATTCAAGATCAGTAAACTCAATGTTCTTAACAATAAAAATGTTTTAAAATGTTAAAAATATTAAGTTTACTGATCTTGAATTATGCTTAATTGATTTTCCTAGTTAGTTTTTTCAATTAAAAGGGCTGAAATGCCCTTTAAAAACCATCATTCAAAAGGCTGAACTGTGCCTTTAAAGTGCCTATGCGACAATTTTTTTTATGATTGAATTGGAAAGTTCATTTAAAATCATAATATAACTTGTTTTCTAAAACTTTATAATCTTTCCTGTATGTCAAGATTTTCGACTTTGTTTGATATACAAATGTGACTTGAAAGACGTCACACTTCATAATAAGTTTTTAGAAAGAAAACGTTTCTTTGCGAAACATGTAATAATTCCACTGACATTGAAAGTGATATACTTTAAGAGCTATCAAAGTGATCATTTCGTCTGTAAATTTGAGATAATGAGAATTTTAACAAGCTACAACACAGTCGTCTGTAAACTCATTATGCAGTGTGACGTCATTCAAGTCACATTTGTATATCAAACAAAGTCGAAAATCTTGGCATACAGGAAAGATTACTAAGTTTTAGAAAACAAGTTATATTATGATTTTAAATGAACTTTCCAATTCAATCATAAAAAAATTTTCGCATAGGCACTTTAAGGAAGCTCATCAACATTCACCAGAGGAGGAAAATCGCACTAGAAATCGATCTTTAAAGGCACAGTTCAGCCTTCTGAGTGATGGAACGGAAGGCTGAACTGTGTCATTAATACGAAAAATATCAACATGCGCGTACCTTTTCATGGCTTCAATGATATTCTTCATGGTATCAGAATATAGAGAAGTGAATGCAAAAGGCCCTTTACTGTTCTTCGATCCCAAACATGACAGAACCGCATCTTTACCAGCCAGAGCAGACTCGAAACTGTTGATGTCGCATGCATCTCCTTGCACTACTTTGAGATTCGCATGTCTAAATGGGTAGCCGGAAGGTTTGTTATTGGTGTAAATGAACTTTGTTTCTACAACTGAAACAGTGAAACTAAACTAGAGGACATGAAGAGTTGGTATATAGTTATTCGGTTACGGGGAACATTAGTGAAGTTCTATATTAACAAAATGAAGGTTTGATGAATGTTCCAACTATATGTTTTAACTTAAATAAAATACATCACAGTGTTGAGAAAGCATTAAGAACATTTATGTTATTCATGTCATGACGTTGACGATCCACGAACATGGAAAACGGTTTGCTTAAAATGCAATCAAGCTCGCGACATTACAAGGCCAATAACGTGTTGTTTTTAGATTTTAATAGTTTTCAGAAGTAGCTTTTCGCATTGGTATCTATGGGGCCTATTCAGGGTTTTGCTGAAGGTTTAGGATTGTGAGGGTTAAACGTCTTCTGATTCAGTCAGCTTCCAAAATTAGAAGTGGCCCTGCGGGTCGCAATGTGAAAAGTTGAATCTGATAGTTTGTTAGTAATTGATTTTTTCTATGTACGTAATAATCGCAGTAATTGGCGCAAGCTGTTGCGAATGCCCTGCCAGTTTTTGTGTTAACGTTAATTGTTTGAATCTGGCAAAGTTAATAAATTGAATTAAACTAATTTAACCTTGGGGTTGCGTGACTGCCAACTCTCTCTCTTATCCTCGTTCGATCCAGACTTAAGTTTATTTATACTGGATCGGTTCTAAACTCTTCCTAGAGGTCAAGTAAGAGCGATTCCTTGCCTAAGGGCAGGAGGCAACCTGAACTAACTTTATTTATATCGGATAGTTTTATCAGTTTTAAACTGTTCTCCCTAGAGGTTCAGAAACGGTCTTCCCTTAATATTCATCACGTTTTACTGTATAGTTATTGTAATGTCGAGGAAAGGGTATTCGCTTCTTGGTCTTAAACAACCGTATTATACGGACGACGTGTGGGGGTGGATTAGTTCAGTACTAATCTCTGTCTGCTGGGGGTATGTCCCTTAGGGGAGATACAGCGCGTCGTGCTATTCGTCACGTTTTGAGCATGCCCAGCGGGAGCGCATGGAAAACCCTGATTAATTAACAGTATAATCGATCCAGATGATTCCTACTCAAACGTGTAACAAATAATGCGCAGTTTAGAATAAAATGTTTGAGTTTGAATAAAATGCCATGATTTGGAAACGTTAAAATCTTTGTGTTACAATAAAGTGCGTCAATTTTGCGCAACATTGTTTCATTATTGCCAGTGATGCAATTTAAATTAATTTTGAAACAAATACTAGCGATATAAGTTTTATTTTACAAGACGTTTCGATGCTATTTCATGCATCATTTTCAAGTTGAAATCATTTACATAATAGACCTTACCGATTATTATATATTATATATCGCTTTCAAAATTAATTTCAAAAAGGTATGCAATTTATATACTAGTAAAATACAGGGTACTTTGTCTGCACCTTCAGTTATCAACTTATCATTTTAATCCCCCACTCTTCATGCTTCTAACTAATTAAATATATGTAAAGTAATATAATAAACTACTTGAATTAGAATTACCTAATTTCCAGACCTTCAGGATTTCTAGCAATAACGGTGACAACATGACCAAGTTTTAACGCTTGTCTCACGACTTCTTTTCCAGTTGGACCTGTTCCTCCAAAAACTACCAATTTCATCGTAGAATTTTACAAAACTCTCGTGCAAAAAGTTCTTCCTCAACGACAACGATGTTAAATAAATGTTTCTTTGTACGTTTCGAGCATATATACTCCTTTCCGAACGGAAATAACACAAACACGTCACAATTTTCAGCTGAGTTTTCAAGAAGAGTGATGACCTTTAAGATTGTAGCTAAGTGTATAATCTTAATCTTCAATTCAGGATTTAAGTTATGTCAAGCTCGCAAAAATGCGCACTTTAAGAAATTTCAACCCCGCACAGAGAAATAATACCAGTTGACTTTATAGCAAGTTTATCTTAATTAGGCTATTATATATATTTGTTTTATATTTTCATGTTTTGTGAAACTTGCGAAGCAAAGACTAAACATTAAATTGTACAGCTGTTATATGAAACTTGAAACTACATAGAACGTAATCAGATATAAAGTTCTCAGTCAAAAAATGTCGATATAAATCTGCATTTCCAAATGTGCTAGTGCCATATAGGAATTCTCATTTGTTTAATTTATATGTAGTAACAATGCATTGATACTATACTGTCTAATACATATAACTTTAAGATTTTCATGCGCTAAGTCATGAACCTCGGCTCTTGAACTGCTTTATCATTGTCAGGAAGTCCTCGATCACAGCCTTACGACTTTTGTTTCAATTGACGTATTTAATAGTACACTAACGTGCGGTCAGTGCTTATCGCCAAACTAACATGACGTCATTGTCGGAAGAGGTCGAAGGGCCTTCGCTCGAAACGTGAATAGGGACACAATCCGATGTTTTCTCGTGCTATGCAACTAACCCTACCCAAAAAGAATCAACTTGAAAAATTGAGAAAATGATGTGATGTCAGTTTGATGTTGGAAACATCGGTTGGAAACGAGTGAAATTGTAACATACACTTGACATGAATACAGAGACGATGCGAGTTCGTTCTATTCAGTAAATTTCTATTTTAATGTATTTGAATTTCAATTCGAGATAAAAAGTTATTGCTACTTACTATTTATAAACAGTATTCGCCCAATTACTAGCAAGAGACAGATAATTCATCAAGACGCATCTCTCTTGTAGATCTGTCTTTTGTGTAATTAGTATTAGGCTACGTGGTTTACACTGTACTTTATTATTGCTTTCTGTAGTGAAGTAAAAATACCTAGCCGTACATAGGAACGCTATTTTCAGAGTAATTATTGCAACGGATAGATGTTTCGCTCAGCTTATGAAAGTTGTACATTCCCTATCGGATAGGTGCTTTTTCGCGCTGCTACGCAAAGCTATCCGGTATAGTGTAAACGTTCACACATACTGTTAATTTATAGCATAGTGCTATATTTATATACTGCCAATAGAACGAATTGTCCAGACTTAGATAAACCATCATCTGTTCTACCATAAATTGGGCCACTATAAGCATGGTACGCTTCAAGCACGGTCGCATACGGTGAGGCTGTCATAGACTTGCAATGGCCATTACTTTCCGATCATACCCGTCAGTTTGCAATGCTGCAAGCATGAAATGCGCGACATCAGCGCGCGGTATACTTGCCTTTGTGTTAGTATTACACTGACCTTCTTCAATCTTGTAAGTACGATTACCCGAGGCTGAAACGGAAAAATAGGTACACTAAGGTACATAAAACCATGGCTGGATTTTGAGGGGAGGTACGCACCTCCCCTGAAATCGTTTCGCACCTCCGCTGATAATTTTTGCACCTCCCTTGAAAAATTATGCGCCTCCCCTTGGGAAAGTTTCAATGATATATCAAAGTGAAAATTTAACATTTTTTTGAAACAGTGATAGCCATTCAGCTTTGTGTCAAGTACCCTTTTGGTAATACAATGTTTTGGAAGAAACTTTGTAGTAATTGTAATGAAAGGCAAAATTGAATGAGTTGTACAATCATAATTCATTAATACACAGATACATATGTACACAACACATATACGTCATGTCATTGACCATTAATTATCAATTATTTGCCTTATCCATTGATAATTTGATGGATTTTACAAATGGGAATAGAATTATCCATCAAGGTTTTTGTAAAAACAATTTCTGTGATTTTCACAAGAAGCTTACCATAAGTTAACTGAGGAGGTCTCACAATGGTGTAATTCATCTCTGCTGGATTTGCGCTCTCTATAAAGTCTTCCATAATAGCAATATCACTCAGTATACCACCAAGAAAAAATGGTCTTACTATCCACTCCATGAACCAGGGATTACCTGGACCTTTCTTTGTACACCATGATGTGAGCACAACCAAACGCGATACAGAATGTCTGGTGCAAAAAAGTACAGAATAAATTATAAATCTCAAGCCCAAATATCTCCTCACTACTGGATTTATAGTGAAATCGTCAGATTAAGAGACAAAGTAGGGAACATTAGGGTGCATTGTGGCTAAATGAGTTAATGAGAGATCTTGGTTATCTTGTTATAAAAGGCCCAAAGAGGAATACAATTGTTTCACAAAATGTATGAATGCCTATACCCCTTCAGGAGTAAAAGTTACAATTTACAATTTTAACAATTTTATTGAGAATTCTACAACGTTTTAAACACAACAGTTCTATGTAGAAATAAGTAGAATACTCAAATGGACAATATCAAGCACGAACGAGACATAAAGTCCCATGCAAGGTGCTTACCATTCTAAAACTATACAAAACAATAAAATAGAACAAAATACAATACAAAACAGCACAAACATGAAACACAGTTATTTACTAAGTTCCATGACATGGACAGTCACGCACTAATGACCATGTACATGGCATTTCTATGTCGGACATTGTTCCGAGCAAGTGTTCATATGTGCTTTTAATGTTTCTTTTAAACGAAGAGAGGGTGGCGAAGGTGGTAGGAGGTAGAATTTTACAGGTATAGTTCCATATTTTAACTAGTCGGTTGAAATAGGATGCTTTGAATGTGTTGGATTTACAGAGGGGGACTTTAAGGGTGAGGGAGGGGTTTTGACAGAGTCGGGTCCGATTGTTGGAAAAGGAGACAAAGGTGTTAACGTCCAAATCTGTGTTGCCAAAGAGAGCCTTGAAGAAGAATACCAGATCAGAAATCTCTCTTTCATAGCAGAGGGGGAGCAGGTTGAGATTCATTAGCCGTTGTTGGTATGTCATTTCGCCATGCTTGGATTGTAGTATCCATGCGGTGGCTCTTCTTTGGACGCTTTCGACTCTAGACTTGAGTTTGACAGTGTGTGGAGACCAAACTTCACTAGCGTAACATAGCTGAGATCTAACAAGCGAGAGATACAGCGTTCGTCGTACTGTTTTGTCTCTCAAAAGAGGGCAAGTTCGTTTAAGCAGCCCGAGCATCTTGTTAGCCTTACCCGTGATTGTGTGGATGTGAACATCCCAACTGAAGTTGGCACTGATGCAAACACCAAGGTCTTTCTCTTTATCCACACGCAAGAGTTCCTTTGAATTCATGTGGTAGACATGCACGAGGGGAGTCTTTTTTCGTGTGATGGTCAGCACCTTACATTTCGACTGGTTGAAATATAGGTTGTTATCATGACTCCAACATTCAAGGCTGGTCAAGGCGTGTTGCAGAATTTGACAGTCATCTTCCGATTTAATTGATTTGTACACTTTGGTGTCATCTGCATACAATGCTGCCGAGGTCTCGTCTGGTAGTACATTTGGAAGATCGTTTATAAAGATCGCAAACAGAACAGGTCCTAGGATACTTCCTTGTGGCACACCAGATGTTACAGGTGCCCACGAAGATGCAACTCCATCTACCACAACTCGTTGACAACGACCGCTCAGATAGTCTTCGAACCATGCATACAACTGTCCTGATACGCCATACTGTTTAAGTTTGTGGAGAAGAATATTGTGGTCAACAGTGTCAAATGCCTTTGCAAAATCTAGGTAAACGATGTCTGTTTGGGTGTTCTTGTCGAGAGATTGATATCTCTGGTCTATTTACCACAATTCCATCTACCACAACTCCATCTACCACAACTCCATCTACCACAACTCGTTGACAACGACCGCTCAGATAGTCTTCGAACCATGCATACAACTGTCCTGATACGCCATACTGTTTAAGTTTGTGGATATATATATATATTTATTAATATATATATATATTAATATTTATATATTAATTTTATATATTAAAATATCTGGTCAGAGGGGGTAAAATATCAAGAATGCTTTGCAAATTGTGTCATTGATGTAAATTTTGCTTGAATTGCAGCTGCTTTCATAGGGCGCTTTCCATTCAATGGCCTGACCGGTCAGACCCGAATTTTTGTCTCTGTATCAATGGAAAGATCTGGTCTACGTTTCTCAAATATCTAGCGAAAATGGACCTCATTCTAATTTTATCTAAATTTTGCGGTCAAATAGGTCCACAATCCCTGGGCACCACCACCCAAATTTCAAACATACTGGTTTTGCAATCTCACCTTTTCATGGCCTCAAAAATAACCTTCATAGTGTCTGAATATAATGTTGTGGTTGCAAATGGACCAATTGATGTTGACCCAAGAGATGATAACACTGCATCTTTTCCAGAGAATTCTGCTTCAAAGGTATCAATATGGTATGCATCTCCTTTGACAATTTTCAAATTTTCATGCCTATAACGTGTGGGGCAATTCTCATGAAGGTTTTATAATACTAGATCACAAGTAGTACCTGTCTCAATCATACTGCAAAATGCATAAAGTGTGTAAATATTATAATATATGTAATAAATACCAATTCCAATGCAACAGCTGATGCCATTGTGTTAAACCTTATTACTATAAAATACACTTTTTCTCTACAGCAGTGTTTATAACATTAAATTATTAAAACATATATTATATTACAGTACAACCATACTCAACCCTGTTAATACGTATGCAATATCACACGTTGAATTTGTATTAAACAAAAGTTATAAATACAAAAGAAATGACCTGCTTTGTTTAAAATTATTTAATATAAAAAGGTCAGAATATTTACCCTTTTCTTCCTAAACTGGTGTCTAAGAAGGGTTCTCTAGGGAGTCTAGGTAAATTTATTTAGACTTTTATTCTAATAAATATTAGAATATAATAAAAACACATATTTTCAAACTATTATATACTCACTTTAACTTAAAATTCTCGGGTGTTCTTACAATGGCTGTAATATCATGGCCAAGTTCTAAACCTTCTTTCACCACCTCTGTTCCTGTAGCACCAGTGGCACCAAAAACAACAAGTTTAAGTTGCTTAAAATGTTCATCTTTTTCATCTTCTTCTGATTTTGCCGCCATTTTTTCGAGATTTTTCGAGGCAACTGCGTCGTTTGCGCATGCTCAAGATCCAAGGCCAAACCAGTGGGCCAAACATTGAGATTAAAAAATGCCAAAAAGTTACGCACATCAAAATGTTATCATGTCAATTATGCATGAATTTTAAAAAGCAGTAAATATATTTTTGAGCTCATGTGCGAAATATTAAGCTTTACACAGACTAGTTCCTTGCAATTTTCGCTTCTGCATTACCATTTTGGAGTGGCAGTATGGTTTCCCATGTCCGCCAAAAATCAACTTTTGCATTTCACTATATGATATTTTGAGGATCATATTCATTTCATTAAAATAACAACATTGTTTTTGAAGATCACCGGTTTATTGGTTGAAAACACAACTTATTTTTTGAAGACCAACTTTTGAAGACCAACTTTTGAAGACCAACTTTTGAAGACCAACTTTTGAAGACCAACTCTTGAAGACCAACTTTTGATACCCAACCGCAATCCAATGTCTTTGTTGTTCGCGGGCTCATTTATTATGTTTTCAAAATGGAGGAAGAAGACAAACAATACTTGCTACAGGCGATTTTTGATGTGATAAATTCCATCGACCGTTTTTCACAGTCTCGAGACGCTAATGTAGACTACATAAGAGCTTATGCTGAAACTTGATTTTTTACAACGGTAATTGCTAGTAAATATGAATCTTGATTATTCGATTTGTGCAAACGTTGGAGAGGCATATAACATTCTTTTCAATATGGAACAAATGGAATACCAATGCAGACAATAGGATATCCGAAGGGGGTAGGGGAGTTAACTTCTAATTTCCTCCGTGAGGGTGGTATGGATGTTTTCTGGAATGACCCATTGGTAAACAGAGAAAAACAGGATAATGTATTGTCCTAGAACATAGATATCCTAATATATTACACACAGTCAGGTTTTAGCAGCGCCGTAGCAAGCTCGATAATTGGGGAGGGGGGGGGCTGATATTCATATATTTGTGTTCACAGACCATAAAAACAATTGATTTCTAAAGAAATAATAACACAGAACATGAATATATGAATATCAGCCCCCTCCCCCAATTATCGAGCTTGCTACGGCACTGTTTAGACTGTTTATGAGTCCAAATGGTACACAGGACATTAAAAACCTGCACAAGCTTTCCCCCTGCCCCCTCCCCCCCTCTAAAAGTTGATGTCTGCTGCCACTGCTCGAAATATGTTCTCCTTTTGGAGGATGTGAAGGAGTGGATATTAAAGTTATAAATGTTTATGTAATCTACTCCTTCACATCTTACAAAAGGAGAAAATCGCAACTAAAATTGCATGTAATGTTAGAAAATGGAGGGGTATTCTGCAATCTAACCTGATCAAAAGTAAAATATTATACGAGCCGCCAACACCAAGTCATAAAGTACTATTTAAAGCACGCGTAGGAGTGTCTTATCACATATAAAACACGACGCGTAGCGGAGTGTTTTATATGTGATAAAACACGACTACAAGTGCTTTAAATGGCTTCAAAAACGATTCATCTTATACGAGTTCATTGGCAAAGTAATTTTTAAAATAAACTTTATCTAAACCGAGAAAATCAAAGCTAAAGTTTATGTAAATTAACATGATTTTTTATGACATATAAAACCACGACACGCTTATGATTTTTCTTTGTGTTTTCCTCCTGAATTATTAATGATTATTGAATCATAATTAACTATTAATACATGTCATGTACATTGTACAGTATATGAATAATTCATATTCTTGAATTTACATCGGCCCGCACAAAATGGATAAGGAAAATAAAACACTGAATATATAAAAAGTTTAGTTACTCAGACAGAGATGATTTTAGCGGAAAATCACAATATGAGCCCGCGAACAACAAAGACATTGGATTGCGGTTGGGTATCAAAAGTTGGTCTTCAAAAGTTGGTCTTCAAAAGTTGGTCTTCAAAAAATAAGTTGTGTTTTCAACCGATAAACCGGTGATCTTCAAAAACAATGTTGTTATTTTAATGAAATGAGTATGATCCTCAAAATATCATATAGTGAAATGCAAAAGTTGATTTTTGGCGGACATGGGACACCATATGCAGGGATTAAGCGCGCGACTCCATTCGGATATTTTCAAACGGGAAACCATTGCAAATTCATTCGCAGGTAACTCGCCCGCGAGTGAAAGGCCAAGGCTGGCTTTACGCACATTAATTTTGCGCCAATTTGCTTTGCTTACTACATCATTGAACTCTACACAGAGATGCATATATAGTTCAACGCGGGGTCAATGTCAATGATCTATATACACGCCATCGCCATGTTGCTATGACGACGTTGAATGTTTAAAGTTGTCGCGTTCTACCAAAAGTTCGCCAAAACGTTGTTGTAGCTCGTTCTCACGTTCAGTTTGTCTTTGCACGTCTTCTTCCAGTGCCTGCGAGATAGAAAGATTATTATTCCCTCGGGTAGGAATCGAACCTGCATTCTGGTGCAGCACTCTAACCAGCTGAGCTACAGAGAGACAGTTGTCGAGCTCTAACCAACTGAGCTACAGAGAGACAGTTGTTGAGCTCTAACCAACTGAGCTACAGAGAGACAGTTGTCAAGCTCTAACCAACTGAGCTACAGAGAGACAGTTGTTGAGCTCTAACCAGCTGAGCTACAGAGAGACAGTTGTAGAGCTCTAACCAACTGAGCTACAGAGAGACAGTTGTCAAGCTCTAACCAACTGAGCTACAGAGAGACAGTTGTCGAGCTCTAACCAACTGAGCTACAGAGAGACAGTTGTTGAGCTCTAACCAACTGAGCTACAGAGAGACAGTTGTTGAGCTCTAACCAGCTGAGCTACAGAGAGACAGTTGTTGAGCTCTAACCAACTGAGCTACAGAGAGACAGTTGTTGAGCTCTAACCAGCTGAGCTACAGAGAGACAGTTGTCAAGCTCTAACCAGCTGAGCTACAGAGAGACAGTGGTCGAGCTCTAACCAGCTGAGCTACAGAGAGACAGTGGTCGAGCTCTAACCAGCTGAGCTACAGAGAGACAGTGGTCGAGCTCTAACCAGCTGAGCTACAGAGAGACAGTTGTCGAGCTCTAACCAGCTGAGCTACAGAGAGACAGTTGTCGAGCTCTAACCAACTGAGCTACAGAGAGACAGTTGTCGAGCTCTAACCAACTGAGCTACAGAGAGACAGTTGTCGAGCTCCAACCAACTGAGCTACAGAGAGACAGTTGTCGAGCTCTAACCAACTGAGCTACAGAGAGACAGTTGTCGAGCTCTAACCAACTGAGCTACAGAGAGACAGTTGTCGAGCTCTAACCAACTGAGCTACAGAGACACAGATGTCGAGCTCTAACCAACTGGGCTACAGAGAGACAGTTGTCGAGCTCTAACCAACTGGGCTACAGAGAGACAGTTGTCGAGCTCTAACCAACTGAGCTACAGAGAGACAGTTGTCGAGCTCTAACCAACTGAGCTACAGAGAGACAGTTGTCGAGCTCTAACCAACTGAGCTACAGAGAGACAGTTGTTGAGCTCTAACCAGCTGAGCTACAGAGAGACAGTTGTCGAGCTCTAACCAGCTGAGCTACAGAGAGACAGTTGTCGAACTCTAACCAGCTGAGCTACAGAGAGACAGTTGTCGAGCTCTAACCAGCTGAGCTACAGAGAGACAGTTGTCGAGCTCTAACCAGCTGAGCTACAGAGAGACAGTTGTCCAGCTCTAACCAACTGAGCTACAGAGAGACAGTTGTCGAGCTCTAACCAGCTGAGCTACAGAGAGACAGTTGTCGAGCTCTAACCAACTGAGCTACAGAGAGACAGTTGTCGAGCTCTAACCAGCTGAGCTACAGAGAGACAGTTGTCGAGCTCTAACCAACTGAGCTACAGAGAGACAGTTGTCGAGCTCTAACCATCTGAGCTACAGAGAGACAGTTGTCGAGCTCTAACCAACTGAGCTACAGAGAGACAGTTGTCGAGCTCTAATCAACTGAGCTACAGAGGGCAGTTGTCGAACTCTAACCAACTGAGCTACAGAGAGACAGTTGTCAAGCTCTAATCAACTGAGCTACAGAGGGCAGTTGTCGAACTCTAACCAACTGAGCTACAGAGAGACAGTTGTCGAGCTCTAACCAACTGAGCTACAGAGAGACAGTTGTCGAGCTCTAACCAACTGCGCTACAGAGAGACAGTTGTCGAACTCTAACCAACTGAGCTACAGAGAGACAGTTGTCAAGCTCTAACCAACTGAGCTACAGAGAGACAGTTGTCGAGCTCTAACCAACTGAGCTACAGAGAGACAGTTGTCGAGCTCTAACCAACTGAGCTACAGAGAGACGGTTGTCGAGCTCTAACCAACTGAGCTACAGAGAGACAGTTGTCGAGCTCTAACCAACTGAGCTACAGAGAGACAGTTGTCGAGCTCTAACCAACTGAGCTACAGAGAGACAGTTGTCGAGCTCTAACCAACTGAGCTACAGAGAGACAGTTGCCGAGCTCTAACCAACTGAGCTACAGAGAGACAGTTGTCGAGCTCTAACCAACTGAGCTACAGAAGACAGTTGTCGAGCTCTAACCAACTGAGCTACAGAGAGACAGTTGTCAAGGTCTAACCAACTGAGTTACAGAAGACAGTTGTCGAGCTCTAACCAACTGAGCTACAGAGAGACAGTTGTCGAGCTCTAACCAACTGAGCTACAGAGAGACAGTTGTCGAGCTCTAACCAGCTGAGCTACAGAGAGGAGACAGTTGTCGAGCTCTAACCAACTGAGCTACAGAGAGACAGTTGTCGAGCTCTAACCAGCTGAGCTACAGAGAGACAGTTGTCGAGCTCTAACCAACTGAGCTACAGAGAGACAGTTGTCGAGCTCCAACCAACTGAGCTACAGAGTGACAGTTATCGAGCTTTAACCAACTGAGCTACAGAGACACAGTTGTCGAGCTCCAACCAACTGAGCTACAGAGAGACAGTTGTCGAGCTCTAACCAACTGAGCTACAGAGAGACAGTTGTCGAGCTCTAACCAACTGAGCTACAGAGAGGCAGTTGTCGAGCTCTAACCAACTGAGCTACAGAGAGACAGTTGTCGAGCTCTAACCAACTGAGCTACAGAGAGACAGTTGTTGAGCTCTAACCAGCTGAGCTACAGAGAGACAGTTGTCGAGCTCTAACCAGCTGAGCTACAGAGAGACAGTTGTCGAACTCTAACCAGCTGAGCTACAGAGAGACAGTTGTCGAGCTCTAACCAGCTGAGCTACAGAGAGACAGTTGTCGAGCTCTAACCAGCTGAGCTACAGAGAGACAGTTGTCCAGCTCTAACCAACTGAGCTACAGAGAGACAGTTGTCGAGCTCTAACCAGCTGAGCTACAGAGAGACAGTTGTCGAGCTCTAACCAACTGAGCTACAGAGAGACAGTTGTCGAGCTCTAACCAACTGAGCTACAGAGAGACAGTTGTCGAGCTCTAACCAACTGAGCTACAGAGAGACAGTTGTCGAGCTCTAACCAACTGAGCTACAGAAGACAGTTGTCGAGCTCTAACCAACTGAGCTACAGAGAGACAGTTGTCGAGCTCTAACCAACTGAGCTACAGAGAGACAGTTGTCAAGCTCTAACCAACTGAGCTACAGAGAGACAGTTGTCGAGGTCTAACCAACTGAGCTACAGAGAGACAGTTGTCGAGCTCTAACCAACTGAGCTACAGAGAGACAGTTGTCGAGCTCTAACCAACTGAGCTACAGAGAGACAGTTGTCGAGCTTTAACCAGCTGAGCTACAGAGAGGAGACAGTTGTCGAGCTCTAACCAACTGAGCTACAGAGAGACAGTTGTCGAGCTCTAACCAGCTGAGCTACAGAGAGACAGTTGTCGAGCTCTAACCAGCTGAGCTACAGAGAGACAGTTGTCGAGCTCTAACCAACTGAGCTACAGAGAGACAGTTGTCGAGCTCTAACCAGCTGAGCTACAGAGAGACAGTTGTCGAGCTCTAACCAACTGAGCTACAGAATGACAGTTGTCGAGCTCTAACCAACTGAGCTACAGAATGACAGTTGTCGAGCTCTAACCAACTGAGCTACAGAATGACAGTTGTCGAGCTCTAACCAACTGAGCTACAGAGGCCAGTTGTCAAGCTCTAACCACAAGTTCATATATATATACTAAGGCGATGCCAATGTAAGGTGTACGAGGCCCGTTTCAGACGGCGTACTCTTCATGTGCCGATCTTAATTGTATTAGATGCGACACAAGAACGGCAGTGATTCAAACGGCGTACCAAATACTATGTTATTGACAAGGTTAGGGCGCATTCGCCAGCGAAACCTCAATAAAATTCAAAATAAATAAGTTTATTTTTAGACTAAAGTTGAGTTAAGTTTGGCACATGAGTGGAGCGGCGTATGAATCAACGTCGCTCCAACGTCGCATAATGCGACAAGCTCTGCCGAACTTGTGTCGAACTTTTGCCGCTCCAAATTCTGCCGTACTTAATAGATTCATACGTCGCTCTTCTGCCGTACCTAATTCATCAATTAAGTTCGGCACATGAGAAGTACGCCGTCTGAAACGGGCCTGAGTCACTGTCCAAAATCCTGAAAACTAGTAAGCCTCAATGTTCAGTACCTGCATAAGTAGGCTGTGGTGGCGCACGCGGTTGACCAGGTTCAAGTCTATTTCTCTTCTTGCTATGTCCTCCTGAGCTTGAAGTATCATCCGCTATAGTACCTCCATCGAACGACTTGCGCTCATGACGTATTGAGGAGGCAGCACCTGAACTGTGCGGAGAGAACTCTTGTTTCCCGAGTAGTACCATGGCCATTAACATGACCATTCCAATCATGGTAGGAGGATTTTGTATTGCCTTGAGTCTTTCACAGCACGTGCGATCTAGACGTTCTTGCCAGATTAGTACCTGACAAAACATTTGAGTTTAGTTTAGTTTATCGAGTTTATCACTCATTGATGAGAGAGTGCTTATGGGCATATTACTGTATTTTCGTAAATATATCACTGGAAAAAAGTTTGAAAATCCATAGAAGGTCATAGAATGGAAATTGTATAGACCTTTATTGGAAATAGAATGGATTTTGGTTATCCATAATAATTGTATATTTCCATAGTATGGATATAGTATCGAAATAGTATGGATATACTATGGATTTAGTGGTGCAATTGCAAATTTCGTAGTATGGATTTCACTTTTTTTTCCCAGTGTATTTGAGCGTGCTCATGAGCATATGCTGGATTTTGGTACATATATGAGCGTGCACATGAGATACCAAAGTAGCGTGCATGAGAATGCTCATGAGCATATTACTGGATTTTGGTATACAGCTATCTCAATTAAGGTTGTCCACGAGCAAAGTGGAAAAGTCGAATACGAGCGCGAAAGGCTGCTGGGAATCGCTAACAAATTCATTAATTTTCAAAGCGGTTCCCAGCAGCCTTTCGCGCTCGTATTCGACTTTTCCACTTTGCTCGTGGACAACCTTAATTGAAATAGCTGTATACGTTGAGCGGATTTCCCAACAGGCTATATTGCCCAATTGATAGTGGATCCGAGGTACCTACGATTTTAACGTCCTTATCCGAGAAGACGCGAAAGTCTAACCATTTACTGCATGATGCCAATGAAAAGGTAGCTCTTTCTCCTCAATAGGCAATTCCAGCTTTTAGTTTATGCGTGCAGGGGATGATGGGAAGTAAGGTATCATATTGCTGATTATGCTGAACAATTTCAATAAAAACTACCGAAACAACCGAAAAATTTCAATATTTACAAGTATAAACTATCACTCCGTGTTTAAACGGCCATCATTTTTATTTTTTCAGCATAATCACCAATGTGATACCTTACTTCCCATCGTCCGCTGCATGCATAAACTAAAAGCTGGAATTGCCTATTATTTTACGACCTTGGGTAAAGGTCCGACCAAGGATCCCACAGTTTGAAAGACAAGCATGGTGACCACGGCACCACATATGCGCTGGTTGAGTGACACCGTTGTTACAAATTGTAAAGATTTTTTTATATATTAAGAACAGCTAACCAGGGTCGCGTGACTGCCAACTCTCATCCTCGTTTTATATAGAATTTATGACAAGTGCGACTTAGTCCAAATGCCGTGGGGGCAATCCTTTAAAATATAATAGTGTAGGTACATGCATACCTGATCCTCAGCCTCGTCTAACTCCTCTTTTAACCTCTCTCTTTCTCTTTCCGCCATTGTAATTTCTTCAACAGTTTTTGCTTTCCTACTTTTCATTTTCGCCACCTGAATTGAAGAATCAGTAAAGTTAAACCTGGTTTACACTGTCACAGTTTCTGTGATCAAAGTAAGAATTTTACATGGGTAAAGTTTTGAAAGCTTTGTAAGAAATGTTTGAGCAAACTGACTTATAATGGTAAACACTGAGTCAATTCCCTCAAACATTTCTTACAAATCCTTCAAAAGTAATAATTACAATCAAACCTGAATTCTCTCAAAGTCCTCATCTAGTTCATCTTTCTCTTCATCAACAAAGAGATAGGAATCATCATCGTCGATTTCATTATCAATCATCGCTATAAATGATCTCAGAGTGTCACTTCCTACGCCGAGTTTTGCTTTAAGTTTTTCTAAGACAGTTGACTTGGCTGTGAGATCGTCTAGAAGCTTGGCTGTTGTTACATTTGCTTCTTCAAATTCTGATTTAGTCTTCGTGATGTAGTGTTTTAATTTATCTGCATCTTTGCGAGCTTCGCAGAGTGTGTTGAGACATAATCTGGAAATGAAAAACATAGGGAATTGTATTAATAGCTGTCCTTAGCAGTGTAAAACCAGGAGCGGATCTAGCCTCATCTGCAAAGAGGGGTGCTGGTTTTCCATGGGGTGGTGCATGAGGGAGCCTTACTGTCCACTCTCCTCTGCAGTCTGCAACGCTACTATCCCAACATTACCATCATTTGAGATGGCCGAATCTGCATGTTCGCCGTTCTGTTACGTCTAACATTATCTTTTGTTTATAACGTTTATATACTCGCTTTTTATCACGCATGCGTGACTGGACAGTTGCTGTAGCACAGTACAGTAAATTTAATAGTTTTGTTTGTGGAAACACCACGTAAATTTATTACTGCAAAACTTTCGATCCGTAAGCCCGGATCTTCATCAGTGCTAATAATATGTGACTTGTTTAATTCACACGCTCTTTTATATACTAAAGTGTCGTGATCTGTTGGTGATTGGTGATCTCTTATCTGATAAATTTAACAGTAAATTTACTTGTTTAAAGTACAGTATATTTGAAAATATAGCTGTATAACAACCTCGACATATTTACATATTTAACCATCATATTTAACTAAAGCATTCTAAGTACTTTCTCGTGAGCTCGCAAATCAATTGCATCGTTTCAAGAATTCGCGCTAACAGTAGAAGTTCCGCTAATCACTATTTGAAAAGCAGAAAATGTATGGTAAAGCAGTTTTTGTAGGGTGGTGCTGGACTTCTCTAGGGGGCAGTAGCACTGAATTTGTTAACAACATAAGCTGAGAAACTAGTGGCCCTCAACAGTATACTATCCCAGCAAAGTAGGATCATGCAAATAGCTCTCTATAAGAGTTAAGATGAGTTGTTATTATACCTTGAATCATTGAGAAGGTTTTTAATCTCCCCTTCTTTCTTCTTAAGCAAACTCATGAAACATTGTAAAAATCGATCGTAGGTTGTCGGTCCAACAAACACTTCATTAGGCATTGCGACATCAACTTGACGGTTAGCCAAAGCAATTCTTTCCATGAGTAAATTTCTACCATAAGGATCGTTTGTTTCATTCCCGGCTTGTTTTAAGTCTTTGGTTTTGGACTTCGTTTCAGGATTGATAGCCATGCCTCCAGCCCAAGGAATATGGTGGCAGTCTTGGAGTACAAATTCGTGTATGGAGGCCAGAGTTGCCACCACACTGGGTCTAATGAAGTACAAAATTAACATAAAAAAATGCTTTCAGTCTACAGTATAAAAGTACAATCATGGTACTATAGGGGTATATCCCCAGAAGTTGGACCTTTAGGGATTCAGCATAAATATGGTTAGTTTAGCTTTATATTAATTTAGTTGATAAACTGAAACAAGAACTAGGATTTACCTTAAAACAGATGAGGCATCATCTTGAAACAAACTATGTCTTTGTAAGAAGTGTTTTGCTTTGCCAACCAATGCCTCTTCTCCCCAATGTTTCACCCAGTTGATATGACATTTGGACAAGATGCCAGGATAATGACTGAAAAGTACCAAAGTTTTTATGATGACAACTCAAGCTTGACAGCGACATCTTACACTAGAAGGTCCAGTGTATAGGTGGTGTTCTAGTATAAACTGCCATGGTTTGTGTCTGAACTACCTGAAAAAGATATCTCAAACGTGGTGGACCAGTGTAGGTTGTATTCTACAACAAGCTGCCATGTTTGTGTTTGAATGACATATGTCAAATTTAGTGATCCAGTGTAGGTAGTATTCTACAATAAGCTGCCGTGGTTGGACGAAGTTGGTCGTTTGTGTAAAACGTTGAATTCTTCTTTATCTCGTCCAGGACCACATTACTTTGTTATTATTCAACTATGCATCACCTGTCAAGATTTTGTGCATCTCGCTGAATAGAACTAACAATTGAAGAGTTTTTGTTGATGAAAATTGTATATAATCTTCCCAATTCACCACCTACCTTGATGCAGAAGACAGAACCTTATGCGTTGGTTGTAAACACAGGATAATGTGAAGATTTCTTTTTACTCTTGTCAGAAAGAATTTCATTGGATCCGTTAGAAAACTAGAAAATTTCCTTTTTATTGATGGCATCAGAGCCTAGACAATACGAAAGTAAAAGAAATATGCAAGCACTTCCAGAAACAATTCCTAAACAGGCTACAGCAATAACAGCTGCTTCTACTTTGAAAGCTGTTTAAATTTGTTGTTATCCTGTCTCCAACTTTGCTTATAATGCGATCCCATATATGTAGTTTTTGCTCATATACACTAATGAAACTGTGTAGCAGAGTTCAATATAATGAAAACTTGGTTTTTGGTTTGACATTTTGTCAGAGTAACCCATTTATAGGCTGGCGCAGGCTTCCCATTTATTGGTCGGACATGATTAGACACTAATTATTTATAGGACTCAAAAGAGAATATTTATATTGAATGTAAATCCAGTGAATATAACAAGGCAATTCATTGATCAACAAACATGCATGTACCTCAATAATATTACGAAGTTAACAGGAATTGCAAATGACAAATTTTAAGTTGACATGTACATTCTAACTAAGCAATAACTTTCTTTGTATGTGTGACAGATTAATAAATTATTGCGTTTTGCAAGAATGAGAGAGAATTAATTATTAAAATTAATGTCCAAAAATGATCAGCCATGATGACCGTCAAGAGCAATCAGTAGATGGCAATATTGGTATTTTCCTCGGAAAAAGACCGATAGCCAACTGTTGTATTGAAGACTGCAGTGTAGCTTATTGTCTTTCATCATATCGCTTTACTAGTAACTATAGATCATACATTGGTTAAGTCCACTAAAGATTACCTGAAGAAGACTGTTGATTTCATCTTCAGAGAACAATGGCGGGTATTCTCCACTGATAAGCAAACTGTTGATGGCATCAAGATAAGAGTCATCCAAAATCTCACGATCCTTGATTAAGAAAAATATTTTTCATGGCTTCAATACGATCTAACACACCGGTGACAATCAAACCTAAGTACTATTATGATGTGCGCATTGTGCAGTGTTTGGCAAAGTCAAACTGGAAATCATAAATCTTGAACTCTCATGCGAACTCTCATCAACTCTGACATCCTCATTTCACTGGTGATTTGATGCAGTATCTAAGATGATCTCAGCAGGCATACCTTGATAATTATAGTGGTTGTCTTGCCATCACAGCCAGCTCTACGTACAGCAGAGCGCAGACCATCCAGAAAGGAACCGCGGTATGAACAGTCAATCGTGTGTATGGGATATTCCAACATGTACAGAGCCAGAGCTGCCAGGTCAGATAGCTGGGAACCAATTGGACCAACTAATAATACATTACCACTAGAACAGAAGGAGACATTTAAAATCAAAGGAAGAGGTAACAGCAAGATGATTTCGTTTTGGAAATAGTGTTATCTCTTGGAATGAAGAAGAAGGGTACCCCGCTCACATTATATTTAATTGAAGCATTCTGAGTATCTTTTTTTCCTGAGCTCACAAATCAATTCAAGAAATCGACACGCACTAACAGTTGAGTAGAGTTAATCGCTTTTCGAAAAGCAGAAACTGTATGGTCAAGCAGATTTTTTAGGGTGGTGCTGGACTTCTCCAGTCCAGGGGGATGCTAGACACTACTAGGTGGGGTGCGTACCCCCCAGTAGATCCGCCCTTGTAAACTTTCATTTTGATTTGGTCTCTTTACTGAACTACAAAACTCCATATTTAAATAATCCATTACCTGTTCTTAATACTTAGAATGCGATGTATTCGTACAAGATGTGAGATAACGTGACTTGATAGCATCAAGTTCAAAGGGGACGTTGAGAATTCGTCGTTGTAACGACTGAGATATGTATCCAAGCATGGGATGACTTCGTCCAAACTCACTACTGCTTGATGTGTTGGCTAGAAAAGGGAAAAATATCAAGGGGAAAAGTCAAGTCTGGGATAGTCACACTTGCCAGCATGAAGATATCTAAGAGAATTTAGGTCCATACCTTGATTGTAATTTTTGTGGAAGTTACTGCTCTTCCTGTGTAAAATTCCTTGGTGTCAGTGTTGAATGTGACAAAGAATTGCGATGGAGAATTTGCCAATTTCTCAGGGAAATACTGCAAGATATTACACATTTTAGGGTGCTAATTAAGAATTTTTTCTGGCTTACAAAATAATTTTCAAAAATTGTAGGCCACGCTACTTTTGACAGAACTTTTCTGTCAGTTTTAAACTGCAGTATCAATATCAATATCATACAAAGAAATATTAGAAAAAAAGTTACTGAGTACACGTTTCAATGTTGACTTACAAAACTTTTCCCCTAATATTTCTTTGTATGATATTGATACTGCACTTTAAAACTGACAGAAAAGTTCTGTCATCAGCATGGATATATACTGTCATCTACAATGACATGCAGTATCCATACTGGTACAGTAGAATTTTAGGAGATCTTATACAGTTAAGAATTAAAAATGTTTACAATTTTCGGAGTGTCTACTGTTTTGTGTTTTATTATACAGTTAGGTAAGCATCTTTATGTAAATATTATCTCAACAATTTCCAATTTCGTTATCAAACTGCAGTTTCTAACGGTGAAACATTGAACTAACCGTTTTGGTCAGGTCTTTAACTTTCCTTTCAAACCACGTGCTATCATCAGAACGGCTTATACGATCACCCATAACTCTTTGAACCTCATGTTGCCACAGTGAAACAACGTAGTCCTCGTCAGCTCGCATCTCCTCAGGACAGTTTTTCAAACCCTGCACAGAAATGTACATTATCGTTATATTTTATTTGCCAATGAACACTTTCTGGGCTAACAAATGGTATAACTGCATGTGAATTATAGCTTTTTCAAATTGCAATTTACAGTACAACTCAAGTTGTCAATCTTACAGCATCAATAATAAATGTATTTAAATTGACAATATTGAACTGTTTGAGAGAACTTTGTGTTTTTCAACCGCCAGATACATTTAAAAAGGTTGCTAACTGCATAAACTACAAAATAAAGCTTAAACAAAGTAATGTTGAGAGAAACGCCAAAAATATTTTAGGTTCTAAACACTTTTCATCGCAAATACGCGAAAAAAAACTATTCCCCCACCCATGCAGTTTCAATGTCGACACTCCATAATTTACTAATGGCTCTTACGGAAAAATCCCTAGTTGAAACAATTATCGCAACACATATCAAATGCATGCATCATACCTGAAACACTCTGGCGACATCACGAAGATTAAAATGATAATGCAATCGACCTGGAGTAGGTGAAGCCCTCAAGGCATCTTGGACACTTTCAATCAAGGAACATGTTACTTCTGTTATTTGTTCATGCAGCTCTTGTTGTAAGCCCATGCCTTGGTTATGAGACATATTACCCTGAAATATAGACATAATTTTATGATCCATATCAAGTTCTATATATATTATATTCCAATTCTATATATATTATATTTCATTAATAATTCAAGAGGAAAACACAAAGAAAAATCGTAAGCGTGTCGTATCTTTATATGTGATAAAAAATCATGTTAATTTACATAAACTTTAGCTTTGATTTTCTCGGTTTAGACAAAGTGTATTTTAAAAATTACTTCGCCAAGCGTAGTCTGAAAAACTCCAAAAGTCCTGCCAATTCAATGGCGTCTTGAGGATAATTTCTCTGCATGTTTTTTGTTTAAGATACTCCTCAAAAAGTGTCTTGTAAACTTTTGTTGACCTCTTTGTATTTTCGCTGTCTTTTTTTGTCAAATTTCTTGATTATTTAACGTTGCCAACCGGCTCAAAGCCATTTTGTTCACGCTTTTAAAAATATGTAATTTTCCCGCGCTTTTTAGCAAATGGACCGCGCTGGGGCTTGGTAACCACAGCGTACAATAATACTTTTTTGGACAGAACTTCGGTCCAAGAAAAGTATTATTGCACGCTGATGGCGTCAGCAGCTGAAATAACGCAACGGCTTCAAGATACCGACAATTATCCGACGCGTTTTGGCCAGTCACAAACGAGAATAGACTTTGAATATATAATAATATCTATTATCTGTCGATAACTGACACCGATATTCTATTTTACTTCGAAATTCACAAACTGCAATCGGACTTACTGTAGAAAATTCATTATAACTATGAGTTGAGAGTGGCCAATCATTCATTAACACTTATCACACATGTATACATTGATAACATCTTTGAATATGGTTATATGTTGAATTTATATATCGATACATTCGGAGGAATGAGTTTTGTTACAACCAAAATGAAATCCAAACTATATTTTAAATGGATATAGATAACGCCAAAATGAGGTAGCATTGAGCAAGGTCGAACTAAAGGAATACTGTTAAAGTAGTATAGTACTCACCTCTAAGACACATGTGACAATACTGAACAGCGTTTTTGCAACAGGCGTTGGCAGACGGAAAACAGCAAAGTGACGCTAAATAAACAAACAAAATGTGCTTGTTACAAACTTGCAGCATGATCACCTATTAAATGTTTACTTCAAATGTAAGCGTCTAGTGTACATAGTATTCTACAATGAGTGAGGAGTGGGATCTACCGCGGGGTGTGTGTGTGTGGGGGGGGGGGAGCGGGTACGCACCCACCTAGTGGTGTCTAAAACCCCTTAGAGAAGTCCAGCACCACCCTAAAAATTCTGCTTGACCATACATTTTCTGCTTTTCGAATAACGATTAGAGGAACTTCTACCGTTAGCGCGTATCGATTTCTTGAAACGATTGAATTGATTTGTGAGCTCACGAGAAAATACTCAGAATACTTTAGTTAAATATCATGGTTAAATATGTAAACATGTTATACAGTCATATACACTACAGCAACTGTTCAGTTGGTAATGTTGCCGAGAAGAGTGGGCTCAAAAGAATTGAGAATATGTTGTAAAACTAATTTATAGCAAACCTTTAGTCTCTTTGATATTGGAGTATGAAATCCAGTAGCTGGTGGTTTAAACGATGTATTCATTGTGGCAATTACAACAAGATCTTCGAGGAGACGCCATTCAAAAGGTTTCTGAAGTTTGTACAATGCACGGTAATCCAGTACCTGACGCAGCAACTGGAAAATAAAGAAAACTGAGTTGTATATCACTGGATCGCCTATCTTAGTGATGTAATATGGTTCAAAAAGTACAAGTATTTATCGTATTTGTACTTGAAATTATCGTAGAGAAACTGGCAATATTTTTCATAGTCGCTGGCAAATGCGAAGAATTGGGTTTGGAATGTCCATTGGACATATGACTGTACACTGGATTCAATGGACATTTCATGTGTCCATTGGATATATAAGACTGTCCAATGGATCCAATGGACTATGTCTATGAGATGAGCATTGGACTTTTCAATATGTCCATTGGACATCTTGCAGAGGTATTGGACATTAATCGAAATTTGAATTTTTTGAGCAAGACTTTTAATGTCTCTAGTACAAATCGGTCTATTTACAACTCGATCTCATTACCTCGTTAACTTCTTGAACTCCATACATATCGGCCTCTGGCAAGTTGAGATCTTCAATGAAAACACTCAATGTCTTGCCACCTCGAGCACCATAATCGTACCCTATTAAACGAACAACGATTCCCTTGAAGACAGGATTTACAATATCAAGGAAACCAATGTTTTCAATGCATAAGCTCACCTTGTCTATGATGTATATTACTTTCAATAAAACGCTGCAGAGAAGATGCAGTTGAATTACTTGAGTACACAAAACGGCGAACCATCAGTTTCTTGTCCTCAGTAACTATTAATTAAGAAAACAAAATAAAGCAATAAGAAAAAAACTTCCCGAAACAATTTCCCAGGGTTTTTTTTTGACAAGTTCACTTTCTCGTGTCTACGATCAACAAGTTTTGTTGCTCGTGTGCACGGAATGTTGTTATAATTAAACCGATTTATCTCACATTAAGGCCACCTTTTGTTTGCCAAAACCATATATAGAAGTATTTCTTGTAGATTTGTCACGTTTTCCTTGACGGCCGTAGACACAAACAAATTTTTCTTGTCCAAAAGCAGGCATGAGCAGCTTTGGAGCAAGGCTCCCGGACAAATATTACTGCATGCAAAAATTGATCATAAAATTTACCTTGTTTGTCCAGGAAATCATTAACCAGACATGATTTTCCAGCACCCTCAGGTCCAACCAGCAGGATATTTCGACCTGACATTCGAACCAATTCCATTAACAAACGAATACGGATCTGTTATAAAGATTTTTAAAGTGATTTTTGGTATGTGTAATATTTGGGTCATTCTAAGAAGAAATGTAATGTATCTTTATAGTAAAAAACCTCATCTTGATCAACTTTTTCACTGTCAAAGTTTCCGGATATGAGGTCATTAGGTGAATTTTTGATACAACAAACAAGGAAAACTAATTTGCAGTTCACATTTTTATTATAAAGATATGTTAAATTTCTTCTTCGAATGACCCAAATATTACAAATACAAAAATCATATTTGGGGTTAGTCGCACTTTAATTATTTATCAATAATGGTTTTCAAAATTGTTCCTGTGATAGCGACCTATCATACTTTATAAAGCACGCTATTTTTCAAAACATTTGAATAATCTACCGTTTGATCCGTCTCAACAAAAACTTCACCAAGAAGATCAGCTGCATCAAAATAACTTTCATCTGGTACTCTGAAAGAAATACAATTTAATGTTTTGGTAAATCATGGGATTTAAAGTTATTGGGTTAAAGTTCAAGCAAAGATATCAAAGAATTCTATATACTACAATTCTACCTTGATCTCCATAGCTCCCATTCTCCCGACTCGTCCAAATAATAATCAAACACTGAAATATCTTGATCATAATCAGGTAACCTATATTGATGATTGATTGTAAGATAACAAAGACTTCAGAAATGGATTCAAGAAGTTAACATGTGTTAAATCACAGCCACCCAATCCTCCCGCATGTATATTATTTGCATGTTTCTGGATACCTTTGGATATATCATTTTATAGGCTAATTTACACAATCAAAGTTTCTGTGATCACAGTAGGAATTTTGCATGGGCAAATTCTAAGTTTTGAAGGATTTGTAAGAAATGTTTCAGGAAACTGACTCAGTGTTAAACAATGAATCATGCAGTTCCCTCATAAATTTCTGACAACTCTTCAAAACTTTACCCATGCAAAATTCCAACTGTGATCACAGAAACTTTGATAGTGTAAACGCTACTAAACCCATGCAGCCGTATGCTTACATTTATTTATTAAAACAGAGTATGCATGGTAACTATAAGCATATGACTGATTCAAAATGTGGATTGGGTAGCAACGGGCATACACAAACACTAGTTGATTAAGTTTAATGGGTGATTCCATCTATAGACTAAATTTTGATCAAGGCAAGAACGAAATCCAACAGCACAGCTAGAAAGAGCGTCGTAGAATGAGTAAAACTGCAAAGATTAGTTGCTAAATGTTGTAAAACGAAGAAACTATAGCCCTGTGAAGTTCGCAAGTTTTGTATATATTTGTATTACGCGCTGTAAAAATAACCACTTTCGAATCAAAAATGGTTATTTTTCCGCATGTAATGCAAATATATACAAAATTTGCGATAATCAAATTTATATTATCTCACTCGATTGCACACAACAGTAAAAACTTCGGAGGCCTTTCGCAAGGTTCCTGACGCTGAGGACAAGGTTCCTGACGCTGAGGACAACGTTCCTGACGCTGAGGACAAGGTTCCTGGCGGTGAGGACAAGGTTCCTGGCGGTGAGGACAAGGTTCCTGGCGGTAAGGACAAGGTTCCTGGCGGTGAGGACAAGGTTCCTGGCGGTGGGTACAAGGTTCCCGGCGGTGACGACAAGATTCCTGGCGGTGAGGACAAGATTCCTGGCGGTGAGGACAATGTTCTTGGCTGTGAGGACAAGGTTTCTGGCGGTGAGTACAATGTTCCCGGGGGTGACGACAAGGTTCCTGGCGGTGAGGACAAGGCTCCTGGCGGTGAGG